TGATATTACCCCTCCCTGTGGACAACCCCTCGCACCCAAGCCTTATATTCACATCTACACTTATGTTTACTTTGAAAGGTCGTCTTATTAAAAGCACCTTCTATGTCTATGAAAACTCCCAAGGCGGACTCTTTATTATCCAGTGATCTCTCTCCATTTTTGGGGATATACCTACACCCTATATACTTAATACAAATATATATTTCTATTAGAAATATATATTAATATTAAGAATATAGGATGTGCCAGCCTCCTGATAGACTAGGCCACTGCTCGAAATCGAAGCATATTTCGACCTACATTTATAGGAACTTTTTTTAACAAAATAACTTCGGCAACCACTACCTAAAATCTTTTTCAGTTATTTACAAACATCCTGTATATCACAAATTTCATATTTTTACAAATCACACACACACACGTTTTTAAGGCGCCATTTCAGAATAAATTTTAGGAAAATAAACGGTTACCTTTTTCAGATGTAAAAAGTGTCAATCAACAAATTAGATGTTAAAAAAAATAACAAAAACAAAAATGATTAAACCAAGATTCCTTTCCTTAGTATGAAAATACTTCTCTTAACTCCACTCAAGTCGTTGCTATACCAGCTCTTACATTTTTTTGTAGTAAAAATGATATACGAGATAATTAGATAGTTTTTTTTTTAATTTAGTTTCTTTGTAAATATAAACAAATATCGACTGAATTGCCTTATTATTTATTAATTTCAAAAAATATACTATCAATTAGTTTGACAGAATTGTACAGTGTCCATTACTAGAATGGATATGAAACTATATCCGTTCAGTAGAATATAATGGCCTACTTTTTCATGTTGTAGGCTGTGCGCAGAATAAATAATATCCATGTGGGTGTAGAAAAAAGATAATAGGTCGGCAGTGCGTTTGCCATGAGTGATAGAAGAAGAGAAAGAACAAACATCAAAATTATTTTTATTATGTGACAAATAATGTTTTTATATTTTGTGATATAAAAATAAAACATTTAAAAAAAGCTTTCTACACTTTCTGGACGTTTCTACACAACCATATTTAACACATTATATACTTACAAAATATGTAAATATACTTAATTTTTGTAATAAAATAACGAATATGCTCTCTTCTGCGTTGTTCGATATAGATTTGAAATTTTCAGGTGGCACCATCTATATAAAAGTACGTGAACTGTTTGATTTATGTTGGTTGCATTATATTAGAACAAAAAAAATCTAATTTCAACAAGTACGTAGCTGCATCGTTTAAACCAAACATTTTACAAACAAATACTAAGAGACAAAAAAGTTTGAAAATGGATGTAAAATTCCATTGACATTACATTTTAGACTAAATTTTATACTACAAAAAAGTTAGGTGTTTAAAAGGGCAATGACCCCGCTCGAAAAACCTACAAAAATCGAGAAAAAAATATTGCCTCTACCTCGGCTTTATTAGTCATTGTATTCTAACATGCCATATAAAATTTCATGAAACAATGTTAAACGATTTAAGAGCAACGTAAAAAAATTCATTTAAATTTTTAACTTAAACACCCTGTAACTTTTTGTGTGCAATTCTGTACACAGGTAAGTAAGGTTAAATCAACCTATTTTTCACCCAAGAACATGTGGTATAATAATTTATGACTAATCTTTTTGATACTTATATCACTTGTGTAAAACTGAGTTTTTACACTTGAAATGTAATATACTATATTTCTATATATAAAAAAGAAAGTCCAAAGCCTATGGCGAAAAGAATAATTTATTATTTAATGTTATAAAGAGAGTAATTATTGTAGATATAAAAAGTTATATTTTGGGTATGAAAACTATTAAAAAAGTTACAAATAAAATTATGTTGTTATATTGAAGTACTACTTTTTGTTCATAGAAAAAAAAAGTATGCAACTCTCATGTATTACATAATCATTGCTTAGGTATGCTATTATTAAATATAAAATTTCCAATTTACGTAGGTAGGTGCAGAAAGTGTCTAAGAGTCTTCAAACTGTTGCTTCCAACAAACACTCGCACACGCGATCCTTATTTACAAAACCTTTTAACTGTCGAAACATAATTGCCATCGAAATTTCAGCACATTTTATCGAATTTAGGTGTGCTTCCGAAAGAGCTGCTTCGTTTCCGTTCCAAAGTTTATTTATTCAAGTTTAGATGGAAGAACCCCATCCATCTAGAACTTTGCCTCCCCTTCGACCTACTGAAACTTCTCTTGGCGGCGAATTAGCTTAATGAACAAACTGGGAGACTGTTTATAGTTTTATATTTTCGAGATGAACTAAAATCGGGCAATCAGCACTTTGAAACATTGTAGCAACATCAGCGGGGAAAAGTTTTAGTACGAAACTTTTTCCTATCGAGAATTTTTGTTTTTCTATTTGAAATAGGGAAGAAGATTTTTTATGGCAATATGCGTTTCATTGCCTCAATTTCGGATAAGTTATTAAAGGAAACTACTAAAAAATTGTGTGAAAAACTATAAGTAAATAAATACCTTAAGAACATTTGTTCAAATAAAAGTAAGAATATTATTTAATTCAACACATTAGAAGGCATAGTGCACATAAAATCCTCAATATAAATCTGGAAGACACCAATAACAGCATCACAATAAGATAAAATAACATCTATGAAAAACAGTAAAATAGTAGGTCAGGTGGCAAATAAACCAATGAAACACAAATATATGGACCAGTGTTGTGGTAAACCGGTGTACTGTATCCCCACGGTTGAAACCTTTCTCGTAAGTTGTTCAGCTGGTAATTTTCCAAGATTGAATAAAAACGATAATCTACAGCAACTTTACTTGAAGAATCCACTTCAAGACTACAAAATTCTAAAGATGGACCTCCGATTTGATGTCGACAAAAAACACCTTAAGCAGGTGTGAAATGGGTTCAAACTACAAGACGGAAATTTATCTCTAAAATTCCACGAAAACTTCCTAAAATCGCAAAACCCATACTTTCGCACCTACATTTGAGGAAATATCTAAAAATCACTACGAGGGAAGACTTAATGGTCACATAAATTAAGATGTTTCCCCCGATGAAAATTAAAAGATGACTTGCTTCTTCGACCCTCGAATAAAACCTACCCAAGAAAAACTGGCCACGTTGTCCAGTCTACGGCCTTGATATGACAAGGCCGAGTGGGTTCAGAAAGCATTCTCAAAGAAGCGACCATTTACCAATATGTCTAACCTAACAGATTTCAAGAAACGTACAAAACTATACTTATGTACAATAAAACAATACTAAAAATTGATCGCCTGACAAAAATCGTTTCAAAAACATTCTAAAAACCACAAAACTACAATTAATAACAACCGCACCGCACCACTCCGGTACAGCGAATCTCATCTCGTCTATTGTGAAGTTTCCATTATCTGACATTCGAAGCAAGACCTGAATGACGTCTAAGTCAAACGTTCCTTCAACTGACTTTTATTGTTTTCGGACTATCAAAACAAACTTTGATATTAATTATATTGTTTTCCAATAATATTAATGATTGATTAATTCGTTGTTATTGGCTCGTTAATAATTATTAATTCTCTCGAGGTAAGAGGCTAAAAAAATAATCAAACTCGTAACGATACAATAATTTCTTTTAAGTGAACGTTTAAAATCTGTAAAAATCCTGTTTGGGCTCAAAACTACAGCAATTAAAAAAAAAATAACTAGTCGATTATCGTACAACTTAGGTACTACGAATAAAGTACCTACTCCCGACTATTGACAAGATGAATTAAATACTAAGAATGACAAATCAGTAAGACAGACTGTAGTCAACGCATACCGCTAGTTTACAACAAATAATAAATAGCTTCATAATCTTGTTTAAGCACTAAATAACGTATTTAGAACTGCCAAATATTATACAGGTTAAAGAAGTATTGGTTCAAGAAATAATTTTATAGGATCATACAATTTATACATCTTACCATTGTAATTTATCTATAAAGCTCTTAATTAATACATTTCTTTACCGTTTTTATAACTACTTATATATAATAGTATATTATGCAACGATCATGTAATAACCATTACATGAGAGTTGCATACGCTATTTTTTCTACACCCGATAAATAATCAAGAACTATAAATATTATATTCATATTGGTATTGAACACAATAACAATAATTACTCGTGTATTTCTATAAAAAATTCTACAAAATTGTAATTAATGGTATTACTTCGGGTATTGGTATTTCCCTAGATTTTTGCGGCAAAATATTTTGTACTGTATTTTCTGCTTTCTCCGATATGTGTGGAGGAGTCTTCTATATCGCTGATATCAGACATTTTAATATTATAATTAACGAAGTTTAGTTATCTACCAAAATTTAATACGTTTTGACAACTAAAACAAATACATAGGAACCTAGGACAAACGTCAAACAGCATGCTTGATTGAAAAATTGTAGGTTTCTATTGATTAAAAATCTGTATCGTAATGAAAAATCTGTATCGTAATGAAAAATCTGTATCGTAATGAAAAATCTGTATCATAATGGGTATCATTATGAAACGGATTATGGGCATATAAGTGCATTATTATAATACGGGTGTAGAAAAATATTTTTAACATACTGATATCATTTTTGTACTTACATAATTTTTAATTATTACTTTAACTTTATCATTATAACTTTATTTTTATTATTAACATTTTTAATCTCAAAGTAAATAAAGGTTTTTAAATTATGAGTTACTGTTATTTTATTGAATTTATTTTTTATTTAATTATAATGGTACTGAACTATGTTGTATTGTAAGTACCTACATATAAAAGTTTATGGTCTCAGATATACAATAAACGAGTGTATAAAAATAAAAAAAAATGTTAGAAACCTCCAAATGTATGTTTTTCTCAAATTTTCAATAGTGCTCATAATCGAATTTTGACCACTGGGCGAACACTAGTACTATTAAAACGATCATTTCAGACTTTCAGAATCATAAAAAAAAGACTCACCAATATCCTGTTCTGTAGGATTCACCCTCCTTGACGGCGAACCTCTATGAGGCGGTGGTTGTTTCAAGACAGCCAAGGGTACCAACCCTTCTGGTACCACGGCGGATTCGTGGTCGGCGGTACCTCTGGTCGGCATTCGAACCAAACAGTAGTCCGGCTTGGAAGCGCACACTTCCACCACTTCCACCTGCTGTCCTTTAGTGACGCTCAATTCGAGAGGGTTGGTGGCTGTGAAGTCGCTCATCACCCATGTCATTTCTAAGACTCCGGCCTGTAAAAGAAAAACATATGTATCTACTAAACAAAAAGGTACCATCGAAACTGTAAGCAATGGAATCAACATTACATTGCTCGTACTATGTGCTAACTCTTTATCTCGACGTATATGCCTATCTTACTTTCTGTAGTAGTGGAAGGCAAGGGTTAAGCTGACTTCGCGTACACCTAACTACCTCGGTTATCAGGGAGCCATGATTTATTATTATTCAAGATTGTCATTATGATTTTATACATTTATCAATACACACATTTACTTATCTTTTAAATATTTTTTCTACACCCACATGGATAGTAGCTTATCTATGCTCAGATTACAAAACGAAAAAGTATGCTATTGCGTTCAACTGAATGAATATATTTCGGGCGGCACAAAATTGATCGAAAAACATTTGATCGAATTGGAAATTTGATCGAATAACATTTGATCGAAGATATATTTTATCGAAAAGACAAAAGTCATTAGATCAAAACGACAATATATCGAAAATCAACATTACAAATAGCGAAATATAAAAAAAAATCAAATGAATAATTTGTATTTAAGCAACTAAAGTTAAACTGATTAAGAATAGAACAAAATAACTAAAATCATTTATATAACGCTAGCAATTTTTTTAACATAATCTACAAAACAATTATCGTTATCTTCGTATTCTTTAGGAAAGCGACAAACAAGGTGGCTATTTTTATCTTTATATTTTTTTCTTAAAATTTTTTGATATCCGGTAATTTTTTGGTTGATTTTTAACTCTGAGTAATCCGTCAATAAGTACTCAGTAATAACAATGACTGTCATGAAAATGATTTTTTAAGTTTCTGTGCCAACCCTCCACAAAATTGTTGGTTCTAGACTGTCCATTTATTGTTCATAAATAATAATTACATGAACTGTGATCAAATTGTGACTTCTTTTTGTCTTTTTGGAAATAGTGCCAAGCCATGTGTCCTTAAAGTGATCCAAAAATGAGACAATTTCCTTTGCAATATGTCTGTATATTAATTGTCTATAACGAAAATAACATCCCTTATTTTTGCCGTAGGAAATAACAATTTACAAGTGTTGACAGAACTCCTAAACACAAAAGTAAACTTTGCAACAGAGGTGAAGTACCTAGGTCTCACCTTTGACAGCAAGTTAACATGGAACTCGCATTTAGAAAACAGTGTTAAAAGAGAATACATTGCTTATGAACAATGCCGCCGAACCGTGGGGCGCACCTGGGGTTTCTCCCCCAGAGCCGTTGCATGGACTTACACGGCTATCATAAGACCTATGCTAACATACGGTGCAGTTGTCTGGGTACCTAAAACCCAAAAATTAACACCTATTCGTAAACTAGAACAAATTCAAAGAACAGCATGTCTCAACATAACAGGAGCCATGAAAACAACACCGACCAGGGCGATGGAAGTCATTCTTAGTCTCACTCCCCTTGATATTTACATCAAGGAGGTTGATCTGACGACAATGACACGCCTCCACACGGTTGGAATAGAACTGGATGTAGGATCTGGTGAGACGAGACGTCGATTTTGAAAGGAGGCGCTCGATACGCTCCTACTGCTTTAAGCTAACATGGACTCCATCTCACCAAGATATATCTTCCATAAGCCATATAAAGTTATAATAGAACAAATAGAAGAGTCGGAAGTGGCAGGTACGATTCATATCTACACCGACGGTTCTAAAATAAAACAAGGCCGAGGATGTAAAATATATTTCAGATCCTTAAACCTAAACATAAAATGGGTTGTGAGCAATAGTGCCAGTGTAGTTCAAACCGAGCTCACTGGGATTCTCATAGCTGCAAAAGAAATTACCAGAATCAATTTAACTGGAAGGAACATGCTCATCTATACAGATAGCAGACAAGCACTACTCATCCTGAATAGACCATGACTTTACTCAGGGTTAGTACTAGAATGTCACGGAACTTTACCCGAAATATCCATCAACAATGTTGTCACCTTAAGATGGATCAAAGGTCACGCCACATCTAAAGGTAACCGTCTTGCTGATTCACTAGCCAAGAAAGCAGCCAACCAAATACTTTTTGGACCTGGCCCTTCTATTGGCCTGACAAAATCGGTAGTGACAGACCTAATTAAAAAACATTCCCTTGTGAAATTCAAGGAAAGATGGGATGAAACAAGAAACTGCAGAGTTGCCAGGGAGCTCTTAAGTTATCCGGACTTTGTAACCATTGAAGTACTTCCTATATTTGTTATTTTAACTTCAACTTGTTTCAAACTGTTTATTTTTTCGGCAATTTCCAGTTGGGTAGGGTTTCCTTCGTGATTGTGTGCTTTTTTTAATATTAGCTTTCCTTCAATAATTTACAGCCCTTGCTTTACAATGTTTTCTGCAATGTTTATATTTCCAATAAGATATGTTTTTAGCCGCTTTTTCCATAATATAAAAATAACCGTCTCTTATTTTTAGCTCAATACATATTTATAATCATTCATCTCAGCAAATTTTTACGACAATGCGTCAAATTTATTTTTCCTACGACCACTTAGGAAAGTGACACATATCACACTATATAGTCCTATGGAAAGTGCCCTATATCACACGCGTATGAATAAGAATTTACTTTCCACCCTTGTGCGAATATGCTACTTTCCGCATCAGCTGTCACAAAATGTCAAACGCATCATCTCTATTTTGATCTATGTAATGTTCATATTAATACTAAAATCGATATGATTATTAAATTATTAAAATTGTTGTAAATTAGATCCTAGATATTTATCTTTAACAATTATTATTAAAATAATTTTAAAATAACTAAGTTATGTTTGCTTTTTATTCTGGTTAAACACATAACCGATTAGATCATTCAATTGACGCAAGGCTTATTAGCTCAGGTGGTATCAAACTTTATCAACTTTGTCATTCGAGACCTGGCGAGCGACCGCGTTCAAATCCTTGCGGGGGCGGGTAGATTTTTTTTTTTTATTTTTTTGTTTTTTAGTTTTTTTTTGTTTAGAAAATATGAAAATTGAATAAATACGATTATTTTTGATTGTTTTTTTTTTAAATTAATTTTATTTATTATAATATAAACCTCGTTTTACATTTCCGCATCAGCTGTCACATAATGTCAAACGCATCATTTATATTTTGATTTATGTAATGTCCATATTAACATAAAATCGATATGATGATTAAATTATTAAAATTGACAATTAACTTAGATCCTAGATATTTATTTTTAACAATTATTAAAATAATTTTAAAATAACTACATACATCTCATTATTTTGGCTTTTTATTCTGTTTAAACTTAAAATCAGGTTGTAGAATAGTTGCAATTTGAACTTTGGTTTACACGACGAGTCCGCGGGCCCGCGTTCAAAACTTGGTGGTTGCAGAATTTTTTTTGTTTTTTTATTTTTGTTTCGAAAAATATGAAAATTGAATAAATACAATTATTGTTGATTATTTTTAAGCTATTGCATAGCTTTTATCGCGGGCTTTGAGCGCGGAGACCGAATCAAGAAATTCCGTACCGTACCGAAAAAAAAAAAAACCTAACACCACCCACTCCGACCGGCACGTGCGGCGTTAAACAATATTAACTTCTCATTTATTCAATAAAAGAAAATCGAAAAACCGAAAAATCGAAATATCGAAAAATCGAAAAATCGAAAAATTGTAAAATCGAAATATCGAAAAATCGAAGAAAAATCAAAGAAAAATCGAAAAATCAAATAACGAAAAATCAAAAAACAGAAAAATCGAAAAATCAAAAAATCGAAATATCAAAAAATCGAAATATCGAAAAATCAAAAATCGAAAAAGAAATTCCGTAACGAAAATAAACCTAACACCCCCCACTCCGACTGGCACAGCGGTGCGGCGTTGAAAGCCGTGCATCGTCTAAAGTCGTTTCAGTTCGGCAGACTTCGGCACGGTGTTTGTGTGCGTGCGACAAAACGTATGCGTGTAGACTAGCTGCTAACTGCTCATAACTGATTCTATCTCTTTTAGACACAATTTCGGAAAAATTGAATTTGAAAATGAATAATGATCCAAAAGAATCCACAACAAAATATGGGACCACACCATCGACGCGGTATTTTCCAGATATTTAGAAGATATCAAGTCTCAAACTTATGTTTCTTATTTCAGTTACCATAAACCTATAGTTTCAATGATAAAAATTCCTGAATAACCTACATGTATTGTAAAATAATAAAAATATTTTAAACAATATTAACTTCTCATTTATTCAAAAAGTGTAACTTGAATTAATATCAAAGAAAAAAAAATCTGCATAAATAAAATAAATAAATAATTATAATTGCATAGGTTGATAAAAAAAACTTTCGGGAACTGCCAGCAGTCCCCGAAATGCTGGCACTCGGGGACTGCCAGCTTTACCGCGGCAGTCCCCGAGTGCCACATGTATTTTTTAAATACATTTTAATTATTATAATAATAACCTGGTTTTACATTTTTTGATGAAATTATTTTGTGGTCGTAGGAAAAATATTGTACATCACTTGTGTGAAAAGTGATTTTCCACACTCGTAATGTAATACACTATAACACTATTCACAACAAATGTGTGACATTATTTATGAAAACTATGCAACAGTCCGTCTAATACCTATTAACGGGGAAACTGAACTCAGCTGCTATCAAATTAGGTACTAATTTTTCGATGATCAAAAAATACTGTTTACAAATTAAAATTAATATTTTTTGAGCTAAACGTTTATGTATCGTCATTGAGATTAAGCATTGTGATGAATTCGCTCAAAATATTTATTTTGGTAATGTCGAGTTGTCTCCCGATAGGTAAATTATTAAAAAAAAAACTAAATTACCTAACCTGTCCGGCCTGGAGCCATCGGGAATGGCTTAGACAAAAATTATACAAATATAAAAAAAACCTAACCAATTTACCTAACCTATACGGATAGAGGTCATTTAAATTTAATTGATTGCTCTCGCCCAGGTTAGGTAAATTAGTTTATTTT